CAGATGCCAGAAACAAGAAAACAGCAATCCCAAAGCCTGTGGAAGGAATCCACAAACACAGGCCAGACTCTACCCTGGGACCAACAGGACCCTGGCCCTCGGGTGACAAGAGAGGAGTGTACTGCTGGGACGCATAGGACCTCTCCCACAGAGGGCCACCTTTCCAAGGTCAAGAAATGTAACTAACCTACCTAAAAATACAAATAGAAAGATAGATGATATGAGGCAGTAGAGGAATATCTCCCAGGCCAAGGCGCGAGATAAAATCCCAGAAGAAGTGTAAAATGATTATAAATCAATAAAAAATGTTAAAAAAAATCCCAGAAGAAGAAATAAGTGATGAGGAGATAAGCAATTTATCTGAGAAATGATGGCAAAGATGTTCAGAGAGCTCAAGAGGAGTATAGATGCAGAGAGTGAAGTTTTTAGCAAAGAGCTGGAAAATATAAAGAATACCTAAACTTAGTTGAGATTTACAAATGTTAGCCACTATATATAAAAATAGATTTAAAAAACTTTTTTTGTATAGCACAGGGAACTATGCTTAATATCTTATAATAAACTTTAATGGAAAAAAATATGAAAACAAATATATGTATGTATATGCAAGACTGGGACATTGTGCTGTACACCAGAAATTGATACATTGTAATTGACTGTACTTCAATTAAAAACAAAACAAAAAAAGAATTACCCAAACAGAATTGAAGAATAAAATCATTTAAATGAATAATACACTAGAAGGAACCAAGAATAGACTAAATGAGGCAGAAGAACGGATCAGTGAACTAGAACACAGACTAGTGAAAATCACTAGTGCAGAATAGAAAAAAGAAAAAAGAATGAAAAGAAATGAGGATAGTTTATGAGAACTCTGGAACAGCATGAAGTGTACTAATATTTGCATTACAGGGGTCCCAGAAAGAGAAGAAAGAGAGAAAAGACCTGAGAAAATTTTCAGAGAGATAATAACCGAAAACTTCACCAACTTGGGAAAAGAAACAGTTACCCAAGTCCAGGAAGCGCAGAGTTCCACACAGGATCAACTCAAAGAGGAACACACTCAAGCAAACAATAATCAAATGGACAAAAATTAAGGGTAAGGAAAAAATATGAAAATTGGCAAGAGAAAAGCAACAAATACAATACAAGGGAACTCCCATAAGGTTATCAGCTGATTTTTCAGCAGAAACTCTACAGGTCAGAAGGGAGTGGCACGATGTATTTAAAGTGATGAAAGGGAAAAACCTACAACCAAGAATACTCTATTCAGCAAGGCTCTCTTTCAGATTTGATGGAGAAATCAAAAGCTTCACAGATAAACAAAAGCTAAAAGAATTCAGCACCTCCAAATCAGCTTTACAACAAGTGTTAAAGGGACTTCTCTAGTCATCAAACTGTAAGAGAACAAAAAGAAGAAAGAGAGAGAGAGAAAAAAAAAGACCTACAAAAGACTGCTTTGGCAGTTCGGGGTCTTTTATGGTTCCATATAAATTTTGGAATTGTTTGTTCTAGTTCTGTGAAAAATGTCATGAGTATTTTGATGGGGGTTGCATTGGATCTGTGGATTGCTTTGGGTAATACAGCCATTTTGCTAGTGTTGAGTCTTCCAATCCAAGAGCACAAGATATCTTTCCATTTCTTTGTATCATCTTCAATTTTCTTCACCAATGTTTTACAGTTTCCTGAGTATAGGTAACCTCCTTGGTTAAGTTTATTTCTAGGTATATTATTGTCTTTGATGTAATGGAAATGTTTATGCCAGTCATAAAATTCTGGTTTTTGAAGTGGGAAAAAAAAGTGAATGAACAGCTGCAAATGGCAAAATATCCTTCTTTCTTATGGGTGAGTTGCTTTCCATTACATATATATGCTGCATCTTCTTTATCCATTCATCTATTGATGTGCACTGATGATGCTTCCATATCTTGGTAATTATAAATACTGTTGTTGTTAACAGCGGGGTGTATGTATCTTCTTGAATTATTATTTTGTGGTTGGCTTTATTCCTTTGATAATGATGTAAGTTTAAAAAGCTAAAGCTCTAAACATTCTTAGAAACAATGAACAGTACATATATGTCAATTTTAAAAAATATGTGCAGTATACTGTGTATATGTATTTACATGCGATATATATTTATATGTGCAGTCAAATTGTAACAATTCTACCTAATTAAACTGAAAAATGAAAAAAAAGAAAATAATTATACACCTAACCAAGTTACCACCCAGTTATAAACATAGACATATTCTTAAGCATTTATGAATTCAAGAAACACAACGTCTATAGCTATAGTTACTAGGTTAAATGTTTGAATTATTTGAATACAGAACGTGAATCTCAACAACCATAGGAATTATGACTACAGAATAGAATGTAAATATTGTAAATGCTATTAATGTAAACATTACTTGTACTTGATAATATACAAATAATAATATAATGAATGAT